CCAACAAGGAAATTAGAAAAGAGTGACCCTATTGTCACTTAGATTAAAAAGGAAAATGAGGGTGAGAAATTGTATGGCGAGACTGTGAAATACAGTCTGAGGAGACTGATCTGGACATTTTTGTGCAGTCACAAAGCATCAAAGCAATGTTTGTTAACCTTTTTCATCGATTCCAGTTTCCTTTACATTTAAATTGAAGTGTGTAATGTTTCCTTCTTTTTCATTACTGTATAGTGTAATACAGTCGCTGTTGCTATTAACCTTAAGGCAGAGAGAAAATCAGTAAAGTTTGAGGTGTGATACACTTTTAACTAGAAATAATAACCCTTGCCCTCAGTTTCAGAGAAAATACTGTAAGACCTGATGATAAAGGTAGTGGGAACAAGAGGTAACGTGGCTCAGAAAAGTAATTTTCTGTTGTCTGATGGTGAGCTCTACTTTTTTTTGGCCATAGGTGTCTCATGGTGCAGGGGAAAGAGTTAGAGAAAGAAGAGATATTTAAACCCCTGCAAAAGCTTAATGTTCCATAAATGGCATGTGGAGAAAGCACGATGGTAGCTGCTTTTGACTCCCCAGTGAAGAGAATCTCTGCCTGGTGCAACCAGTTGCTACCTGTCCAGGGAACAGCTGAGGATTGATAAAGATGTCATTAAACCTGCTTTGTTGGACTGCACGCCAGTGGGACCTGAGGTTACATGCCCCTGGTGGGACAGCTGTTGGAAATTGTGTTGAAAAGATGTGGAGACATCCTCTGCCCAAACGGGTGGTGAAATTTTTACAGAGTGAGTTCGGTAGGTCTTTACATTTGTTTGTAGACAGCAGCATATGTAGTGAAAGAGGGGGGTTTCATGGGGCTAGTGAGTGGGATGACTTGTATTTTCACAATTTCTGCTTTCATGTATGTCTGCAGTGTCATTCAAGTCATATGGATAATGGCTGTGGAAGGGGTCCACCATATGGGGCTGCTGTCAAAAAAATGGTGCAACTGATTTAGTATGAAACCAGGTTTACAGGACACACAGGAGCAACAGGTAAACAGTAAGAGGTAGGACAATTAGGTTGCGTCCTATTTTGAGTTTAGTTACATCCTATTTTGAATTTAAAACTGGAGATTTTCTGAGTGGTGTTTAAAGTAGTCAAGGACATGTAGCTAATGTCCTGGTATTACTTTGAAAAATTCAGCTGACAATTCTACTTAAAATGCAAGCCAGTGAAGTACAGGATACTCACTGAGGTATGCTCTCAGAAGGCAGGAAACAACATGCCAGTGCAAGGCAAAAATGTAGGCAAGGTGGAAGACTGCAAAAGAGGCCATAGGTGATAACTGGGCTTGGGCTCATAAATTACATGGCACACTGATAATATCAGTGCTCTTACTGTGGAATACCGACTAGCACAAATGAAAATTCAGCTGTTTAAGAATTTGCTTTTGATACAAATGGTTGTTGAAACAGTTTTTTCCCACGTCCCTTCAAGTTTGTTATGAGAGCTGTGCTGCACAAGGCCTTTTGCACAGCTCTCTACAACAAAAGACAGAGATCTTGCTCTGAGTGCCCATCAAAAATGCCTCCCCTTCCCTCCTTTACCTCTGACTATTTGGACCTATGCTCTGGTAGCTGGACTTTTTGCACAACTGGTTTGGTTTTCCCTAACAGTGGTATTAATTGTACTTGCCTGTCCTACAAGGGAGAGTGTCTTCTTCAAATGAAAGGCAGAGGAAGCTGGGGCAGGGCTCATAAGAGAGAATGTGCAACCTGTGCAAAGTCCTTCCCTCTGCAAAGGGAAGGCTGCAAAGTCTAGATTTGCTCAAGCTCCATGTCTGTCTAATGCCTTTAGAGTCAGCAACTGCATTGCTCCGGCCAGACTTTGTATTTAGGAATAACCCCACTCCCACTGCTTTTCGAGATGTTATCCAAGGGTAGGAAAAGGAGACAGTGGGGCTCGTGTTGATAAGGTGGAGGAGAGTCCTCTTTAGTGTTGCTGGGGGCAATTAGAAATAAGGAAATGGCTCAGTATTTACCAAGTTCCTGAATCATAATTTTCTTGAAATCACCTCTGGGGCATGTTTTTGTTCTCTGCTTGTGTGATTAGTGCTTTTCTATCATCTCCCAAGATCAGAGGACTTCCGCAGGAGTTAGCGAACCATCCATGGGCCACTGAGAAGCCAGTTGCCCCCTGAAAAACGGAGGGCCTGCTAAACACTTTCCCAACATTCTTCTCAAAAGCCAGTAGAAAATGTTTTAGTCATTGCTAAAAACTCATCACCACATACCACAGCCCCTTACTCACTGTTGTATCTTATTCAAAGGGAACAGCCATTCCTGCATATCCTTGGGGGAAAAAATACCTGTGCCACAGCAGCACTTGCAGGATGTACAGAAACTGGTTCATTTTGCCTAGAGCGGACGGACCCTTTCCTGTGGCATAGGCTGTATGCGTGTGTGCCCTAGGATGTGTCATGCTGTACCCCAACAGCACAAGATGCTCTGGTGACCAGCATCTCAGACAACCTTTAGGCACAGCAGCAGAGTGAGGCCTCCACTCACCTGGAGGAAAGTGTCCCCAAAGAAGAAAATACCATCCTGTCACCAAGAGTTTGTGACAGAAAGCAGGTCTAGGCTCTAGCTTTAGCACTGGTGCTTCCCTACATGCCAGGGCCTGCAGGCACGGTGAAACGTAGCCAGTGCTGGGAATCACGGGCAAGGAGCACTGAAAATTCCGGGGCACGGCTCCCTGGGGGACTCGGGTGCTGTTGCATGTCTGGAGAGGTACCGATGTGATCCGAGCTACTCCAACACGGTCTGAGCTATTCCAGCACGGGGGCTGACGATGCTCTCCCCTCTGGCGAGTCCCTCGTACCTAACGGGACCCAAACCCGCGCCGAGGCCCCCTTTCACCCGTTACCCCCCCCTTCGGGGAGGGCCCCAACCCCCGCGGGT